ACAAACAAACAAACACACAAACAAACACACAAACAACACTAACACCACCAAAAAGAACAAAAAACATACAAAACAAACAACCAAACAACCAAGAAATCAAAAGAACAAACAAACAAACAAACAAACAAACAAACAAACGGCACGAACAACACAAACAACACGAACAAAACCAAACCGATAAGAAAACAAGAAAGCAAACAACCAACAACCGAACAACACGAACAAACAAACAACACAAACCAACAGAAAGAAATAAACCAACAAACAATCAAACAAACAAGCAAGCAAACAAACAAACAACACAGCCACAAACAAACCAACAATCAGTCGAGGAAACGTACAAAGAAAACAGAACAAACAAACAAACAAACAAACAAACAAACAAACAAACAAACAAACAAACAATCACACAAACAAACAAAAAACAAACAAACGAACAAGCAAACAAACAAACAAACGAACAAAACTACACTACACGCCACGACCAAACAAACATTACAAGCGACACAAACACTAACAAACGAAAACAAGCAGGCAACCATCACAACACAAACAACCAAAAAACAACAAACACAACAAACAAACGCGCAACACGAACAAACAAACAATACAAACCAACAGGCCCTGAAAAAGTGAACACGAACAGGAAAAACGGAACAAAAACAAAAACAATCAAATAACACGAACAGCACGAAAAGCTTGAAGCAAAAAACGAACAAACAACACAAACAATCAAACAAGCGCGAACAACACGAAAAACAGAACACAACAAGCAAACACACAAACAAACAACACAAACAACACGAAAAAGCAAACAACACAAGCAAACGAACAACAGCAACAAACAAACAACACAAACCAACAAACCATCAAACAAGCAAGCAAACAAAAGACAAGCAAACAAACAACACGAAGAACAAAAATGGAAAAACAACAATAGCCACATAAAAGCAGCGGCACGAACAACACAAACCAAAAATCCATCAAAAAGACACCACGAACATCTCAAACAACAACAACCAACCAACAATCAAACAAGCAAACAAACAAACAAGGAATGCGAACAACACGAACAAACAAACAAACAAACAAACAAACAAACAAACAAAAGAAACACAATGAACAACACAAGCAACACAAACCAACAAGAAATCAAGCAAGAAAACAACCAACAACCGAACACCGCGAACAACACGAACAATCAAACAACACAAACCAACAGAAAGAAATACACAAAAAAAAAAGGTTAAAAAGCACAAACAAAAGATAACACCCCAAGAAAAAAGCAGAAACAACACAAACCAACAAACAAACCAAAAAAGCAGTCAAACAACCCAACAAACAGACAGACAAACAAACAAACAAGCAAACAACACAAACAACACCAACAGCACACACCAACACACACCAACAAACAAACGACAGAAACAACACAAACAACGCAAACCACCCAACAAACAACGACAACGCGAAAAACACAAACAACACAAACCGACAAACTAAGCCACAATTAAACAAAGAAGCAAACAAACGAATGAGCAACACAATCAACACAAACAACACAAACTTCCGACAAACAAACAAAAACAAACGAAGGAACAAACAAACAAACAATCACTCAAACAAAGAAACAAACAAAAAAACAAACAAACAAACAAACGAAAAACCAACAAACAACGCAAGCAAATGAACAACAGGAACAAACAAACAATCAAACAACCAAACCACGCAAACAAACAAGCAAACAAACACGCAACACGACCAACACGAACTACACGAACAATACAAACAAACAAACAAACAAACAAACAAATATGCAAAAAAAACAAACACAAAACGAACAAACGAACAACACAAACAACCTGAACAACACAAACAACCTGAATACCACAAACCAACACACGCCAACACACACAAACAAATCAAACAACGCAAACACACACACCAAAAACCAGCAAACAAACAGACAAACCACACCAACGCACACACAAACCAAAAAAACGCGAGCAACGGGAACAACACGAACAAAACAAACAAACAAAAAGCATACCAACAAACAAACAAAAGAACCAAACAACACAACACAAATAACACAAACAAACAAACAAACAAACAAACAAACAAACAAACAAACAAACAAACGAGCAACACAAACCAACAAACAAACAAACAAACAAACAAACAAAAACCGCACGAACAACAAAAACAAACAAACAAAAGGAGCAACACGAACAACAAACAAGAAAAGCTACAACACAAACACATTGAAAAAAAAACGAAAACAAACAAACAAACAAACAAACAGACAGACAGACAGACAGACAGACAGGCAGACAAACACACACATACAAACAACACGAACAACACCAACAAAACAAACAAACAAGCAAAAACCAAAAACACAAAATAATAGACAAACGATAAGACAAAAAACACAAACAAACAAAGAAACAACACACAAACACACAAAAAATCGAAAAGAAAACCGAGCAACACAGACAACAGAAACAACACAAACCAACTCACACACAAACAAACAAGCAAGCAAGCAAGCAAACAAACAAACTAACTAACTAGCTAACTAACAAACACACGAACAACACGAACAACACAAACCAGCAAACCAACAAACAAACCAGCAAACAAACAAACAAACAAACAAACAAACAAACAAACAAACAAGCAAGCAAACAAACAAACAAACAAAGACAGCAAACAAACAGACAAACAAACAATCAAACAAACAACACAAACAACACAAACTAGCAAACAAACAAGCCAACAAAAAAACAACACAATCAATATCAGACAACACCAACTTACAAACAAACAGGCAAAAAGAAAAACGACCGAACAAACAAACGAACAACACGAACAACACAAACAAACAAACGACGGAAACAGCAAAAGCAAACAAACAAACAAACAAACAAACAAACAAACAAAGAAACAAAGAAACAAAGAAACGAACAACACAAACAACCCAAACAACACAAACTGACAAGGAAACAAGCAAACAAACACAATCAACACAAACCCACAAACAAACCAACAAACAAACACGAACACCCAAACAAGAAAACAACTAAACAATCAACACGAGCAACACGAGCGACACAAACAACACCACACAAACAACGCAAACAACACCAAAAAAAAACGCAACAAACAAACACAACTCAAACAACACAAGCCAACAAACACACAACAAACAAACACACAACTCAAACAACAGAAACCCAAAAACAAACAAACAAACAAACAAACAAACAAACAAACAGTAAACTAGCAAAAACAAACAAACAAACAAACAAAACAAACAAACAAACAAACAAACAAACAGAACAACAAACGAACCAGCAACACACACAGACTTACAAACAAACAAGCGAATACACAAACAAACGAACGGACAAACAGTGTAAAAAAAACTGCACAAACGCACGGACCACACACACATCACAAACAGATAGGCAAACAAAGAAACTATAAAACTGACAAAGAACCAAACAACAAAAACCAACAAACAAACAAACAAACAAACAAACAACAGCAAACAAATAAAGAAAAACAAACAAACACACAACACAAACAAACGACCAAACTCACAACACGAAGAACACGAACAACACAAACAAACAACCGACACAGACAGCACAAACAAGCAAACACACAACAAACGAAAGAACAGACAAGAACAACATAAACAGCAAAAACAAACAAGCGACACAAACAGCATAAACAAATAACCAAACAAAAACGAACGAACAAACAAGCAACATGAACCACACAGAGAAACCAACGACACAAACAGCACAGATAAACAAACAAACAAACAAACAAACAAACAAACAAACGCGCAACAACAACACAGGAACAACGCGAACAACACAAGCAAACAAACAAACAAACAAACAAACAAACAAACAAACGCGCAACAACAACACAGGAACAACGCAGACAACACAAGCAAACAAACAAACAGACAAACAAATAACAACAACAACACAGGAACAACGCGAACAACACAAGCAAACAAGCAAACAAACAAGAAACAAACAAACGGGCAACAGCAACACGGGAACAACGCGAACAGCACAAGCAAACAAACAAACAAACAAACAAACAAACAAACAAGAGCAAACAAACGCGCAACAACAACACAGGAACAACGCGAACAACACAAGCAAACAAACAAACAAACAAACAAACAAACAAACAGATGCGCAACAACAACAACACCACGAACAACGCGAACAACGCAACACGACAACAAACAAACAAGCAAACAAACAAACGCGCAACAACAACACAGGAACAACGCGAACAACACAAGCAAACAAACAAACAAACAAACAAACGCGCAACAACAACACAGGAACAACGCGAACAACACAAGCAAACAAACAATGAAACAAACAAACAAACAAACAAACGCGCAACAACAACACAGGAACAACGCAGACAACACAAGCCGACAAACAAACAAACAAACAAACAAACAAACAAACGCGCAACAACAACACAGGAACAACGCGAACAACACAAGCAAACAAACAAACAAACAAACAAACAAACAAACAAACAAACGCGCAACAACAACACAGGAACAACGCGAACAACACAAGCAAACAAACAAACAAACAAACAAACAAACAAACAAACAAACAAACAAACAAACAAACGCGCAACAACAACACAGGAACAACGCGAACAACACAAGCAAACAAACAAACAAACAAACAAACAAGCAAACAAACAAACGCGCAACAACAACACAGGAACAACGCGAACAACACAAGCAAACAAACAAACAAACAAACAAACAAACAAACAAACAAACAAACAAACAAACAAACAAACAAACGCGCAACAACAACACAGGAACAACAACACAAGCAGGCAAACAAACAAACAAACAAACAAAGAAACAAAGAGACAAAGAGACAAAGAATAAAATCACCGAACTGAACGAACTACTCGCCCGCCCCTCACAGCGCCTTGGGCCCGAGAAGACCGTCGAACTTGCAGCTCGACAGCTCCCCCGGGGGCAAGACGTTCTCACCCGGCTCCCAGGCCTCCTGGTGTTTCGAACGAGACAATCACAAGCTTAGACTTACGCCGTGCTGTTAACACACTGAAGCGGCATTCAAGAAGAAGCACCCCCAGTTGCTTTTGGACGAATGGCCATGCGTGTCAAGGCGTCAGGTGGTTGAATTTGCAAACCCCGCCCCCGCTGCCGTTTCTGAGAGTCTGAGCGTAATAAATGTGTTCAACCCCAGGTTGGAGCCACGGCTAGAAAACGGAGGGGAGATCTCTGACATACCCTATCCACCCGCCAAGGCGCTGGGCAACTCCCTTTGCTTTTGCTGTTGCAGAAGAGCTGGTCTCCGCGCCGGACGCAGCAGCAGGTTGAGGAATTGCTCACCTGAAAGCGTGGCAAAAATGCTTAGTTCTGTATATTTGAGCCACCCTGAAAACTATGGTTGACGCAGGAGAAGGGGCCTCAAGGGTTGCGTCCGGGGTTCTACTGAAATGGTTACAGACATTTACTGGGGCGTGTACTTCGTGAAGAGCGCCCTTTTCGGAGTTGGTTTTAAGCGAAACCAGAGCCAAACAGCTGCAACGTCAGACGCGATCCGCCCACCCGCCCGTGCACGACACAAAGATGCGCGTGGATGAGCGATGCCCTGAAGACCACGGCCCTCCCTGACAAAAATAAGACTCAATTTGGGCACGCGCGGGCGGGAGAAAAAGAGACTCATGGGCGGGTATTTGTTGTGAAAATGGCAACCACCCGCAGACCCCGCGTGCACACACGCGCCCCACTCAGCATCCGCATGTCAAACACGATCCTCCCGCCTGCCCCTGCAATGTTCTGGCCCAAGTTCCGCCCAAGTTACCTGCGCCCTCAAGCCAAACATTGCCATTCTTTATCAGAGTTTCACGAAATCTGCGGGCGCCGGCTGCCACAACCAAGTAGCTCAGGACGCAAGCTGTGATGCGGAAAGTGGCCTGTGATGCACCAAGCTGAGCGTCAAAGATTTTGTTTCTAGGCCCACGTCGCACAACTCTATCGCGGACGCTTCGGTCCCCGAAGAGAAACATTGCGCACTCCCGCGCGCGCCACCGAGAGTCAGCGACTGCCACTAGCCATCCCAGAGAAATCTACCACTGCCATCGCGCCAAAAGCTTCAGAGCGTCGAAGAACAAATCTCGAGCAGCAGCAGAACTGCCTGTCCAAGCACGACGACGCACACATCTTTGATTTGTATCGCGCGGTTCTTGAACAACTTGTTCGCGCCAGCCTTGAATGTGAAGTTTGGCTCGGTTAGAGGCAACCAGAAGCACAAACCTTGTTGGCTGTTTGAGACGTGCGCCAACTCCCACGGCGAGGCGCCCCAGGTGGCCAGAGCTCTCCATCTAAAACGGCAAGCAATCGCTTGACTGAACGCGCAACTTGCTTTGCCCAAATGCAACTTTTCGGCACAAAGCTCTCGTCCTGCGCGTGAAGGGCCGCGTGCGTTTCTTTGATGAAAGCCCGCCACGTGAAAATCACAGAAGCAACAGGCACGCCTTTCCCAATGATGGTAGGCAACTGTGCCTTTGGGAGCACATTCTGCGCCGGCTGCTTCAAAAACATTTTCTTCAGCTCCATAAGTTTGCCAAGCGGCGCTTCCACCGCAACCGTGACCCCAATCCACTGCAGTGTGGAAGAGTGGATAGCCTTGTGAAAAGCCAGCGGGAAACCTAACCTCACACAGAAAAGAAGAATCATGGCAGCTAATCTGTCTCTCACTTCACAACTGCCCCGAACTACAGGATCGTCAAAGTACACTTGCACTCTCCCATTCCTGGCGCTCTGTCATTGGTCCCGTGACCAAAAAGGCGCAGACCTGTTGCCTTGGAGCTGCGCGAAAGCAAAAGCGGTAAACGAATCCGCGGGATGAAGAGACTAACTTCCTCGTCCGCTTGCAGATCTGCTTTGGCCAACGTTGTTTGAACCACATCAGCCAGCAAGCACTGACTTGTGTGTTCTTCCGGCTGCCTTCAAAAGAAGTGTTTGGGATGATGCGATTGTTGTCTGCAATTTGTCCAAGTCCAGTCTCTGCTTCTTGACACTTGACACACCCAGCCTTGACAGAACTGCCCCAACGAAGTTCCTGACTGTTTCTAAGTCATCCGCCAACACCAACTCTTCCGCTGACTCTTCCACGCTGGAGCACGCTCCAGCGCCGCGCCTCGTTTGCTCAGGCAGGCACAAAACACGACAAATCTGGAAGAACCCCGCAAAAGTTGCGGGCAGCGCACGCAACACTGACAGTCCGTGGGAAGCAGCAAGGAGTGAAGCACAACACCCTGCAGCGAACGCAAGGCAGAGCTCAGCCTCGCGCAGCGCAGTTGCAGCCGCAGTATCAGTTTGCGCGCCTGCAACGGCGCCGCGCGTTGCGCGCTTGTTCAGCGGGCCGCCTCGGTCTCGCAGTTTGAAAGCGCATTTGCAAGGGCACGGCAGACGGCGTCTGCCTGCAAAACGTGATTTCTGGCGCACGAGGCATTCTTGAGGCATCAGAGCATAGCAAGACTGGCAACCTTACGCGGAACAGTTTTCTTGCCAGCTCAATCAAGTTGTTGCAACCGCGCTGGATGGCGCCTCCATAGCCAGCACAATTGGTCTGGCACTGAGACTCTGCCACCTGTGCAGGGCATGGAGCCCCAGCCCGGAAGACACAGAGTCACCAATTGCAAGAAGGTCAACCGCCAGATCTTCCTCAATGTCCGGACACCCTCACTTCAGCCGGTCTGACATGGCCCAGGAGGATGTTGGCAAGCAGCTGCGTGCTGTGGAGTTCAACCCAACGCCGCGATCCGTCTCTGCCAATCTGCACTCCTGACAGCTTAACCTTCGCTTGGTTCTGTGGCCGAAAATTGCGAAGTCAAGGCCCCTGCTGAATTAAATGGGCTACGGCGGACAATTGCTCCGCGGTCGCCTCTGGATTTTCGGCAGCTTCTCGCCTTTCCCAAACAGTGATTCATAGCCAAGATAGCGCTTGAGCGTGGCTTTCTCTTCCACCAGCATACGCTCTGAGTCATCCACTTGAGATTCGTTGCGTCGGCCGGCGCAGGCGTGCTTGCCTGTTCATGAGCTTTTTGGCTGAGACCTCTGCTCCACGGAGCTTTGCCACACCCAATTCTATAATTGTGGGCGGTCTGGCTGCTGTTCCATCTGGCGCCTTCCATGCTGCGAAAGCTGCATCATAACCTGCTTCTGAACTCATGCCCAGAATTCGCGGCACTGTGTTCGGCCGAAGGCCAAGCACCTTGCACACGGCGCCTTCCATCTCACCCGCGCTTTCCGTCTTCGATAGTTCGAGGCAAGCCCACTTAAAAATGCTGGCCATGCTGACCATCGACTCCAGCTCATCTTGCTTAGGATCCAGTGCCATCGCAGCTCAATCCGTATCCATGAGGCCCCCCCCACCCGATCTGAGAATCGGCTCTCCCTTTGGGGATTTGAGGGTCTCCTATTTTGACACAAACCTGAGTAGGCCTCATTATCATCCCGATGTAACCAAGTAGAATCACCACCTCAAATGGCCGATAGGACTCGGTTTTGGACACTCGCTTTGAGAACGAACCCAAAGGGTCAGCGAGAGCCAATAGTAAGCCTTGGTGGAAAACTCGGGCGGAAAAAGCCCTGTAAGTCGTAATCCCGTCCCGTAATCCCGTAATCCCGTAATCCCTCAAGCTGTCTAAAGGCACGGATCTGCAAACTGCGCTTTGCAAACATTGCCTCATGTCCCTTACGCTTTCGCGACAAACGCCATGTCTCAGGCTTCGTCACCGGGTCAATGGATTGAGACATAGCTAGTCCAAGAAGAAAAAAGACATGGCAGTTTTCAAGTGTCAAGTTGAAGAGACATCAAACTAGTGACTTGCAAAGCTTGGCATCTGTCTGTTGCTACTCAAAAAATGCTCGCTCCATGTACTGTTGCGTTGAGAGCACTCATCACAAAGCAGCCCAACCACCTGAATGTTTTCATCCCGGATTGGCCAGCCCGCTCACCCGGGCTCCGAAAGGGGACATCATGATATCAGCCGATTTTTTGTGTTTTTTTAAACTCAAGGTTCTGACCTGAGCCCCTCCGACCCGGCCTCAATTACCGCCAACCTAGTGGCGGCGGACACAGCAAACGTGGCCAAGCGCCACATCGAGCTGAAGATCAAACGGAATGAATTGATCAAAAAGCGTCCAATGGCTTGAGCCGAGGACGGCGTGGATGAGCACAATCTCGTCAAAAACCGCATCCCCTTCTGTGAACAACCCTCACATGCGCATGCCACTCGCATGTCAGACTGGGCTCCCCTTTGCTGTACCTTGTCTCCTCAGCGACTGATATGTGCACCGGCAATCTTGATCTCCAAAACCAACAATGCCATGGCAACCCCAAAGGATTCCAGTCTCACACCGCTTCAAGCTCAATCAAGGATGCGCTCCTCCGTCAGGTTTGCTTTGGGCAAACGCGCCGCTGACGGAGAAATGGGAACCCTATTATTACCCCGTGATTCATTTTGATTGGGAGATGCAATTCATTTTGCCAGCAACACCCCCAATGAACCCTGCCTCGCTCTACCTGAATTCAGGGATCAAATTGCACCACTGGCATCCAAAAGAAGGGTACGCAACATCCATGCACTTCCTGGCGGTGTTCCGGCAGCTTTTGAAACCAAAAGGTGATGTTGGCAAGCCTTGAGCAAAAGCTATGCCAAGGTCGACCACTACGCCTGAAACTGGAGGAAGGTTGAGAAACCAAACACGGCACATGCACAATTTTGCTCTCAACAGTAATTTGGTTTATCTCCCAAAATTGGAAGAAAGGCAATAGCAAAGTCCTGCAAACCTGTGCCGAAAACCAAAAAGTTCGGAACGCAATCCCGATCCAATGACCTCACAAGTTGTTGGATAAAATTTTGGGATCGTGCTTTGCAAATCCAAGTGTTTCGTTGGCTTCTCCTACCACTGTTGAAACATCAGCACATTTAGTTTGCTGTTTGGGGATCCATAGCAACTGCCCAATTGGAGGTTGTCTCAACTTGAATCCCAAAACCGGGAGGTTTGTCTTGATCCCCTTTGGTTTCCGTCTTGATCCCCTTTGGTTTCCCTTGTTTTCTGGCGACAAACAGGGGAACCACACAAAATCAAGGAAACAATCGGGCATGGCATGTCTTGCCATTTGAACAAGACCAGGGGTTCCTGCTCCAAAACGCCAATTCCATCCAATTTGCTTTGGAATGCCCTTTTTTCTGCAGCCAACATGGGAGTTCAAGATGGAACCTTACCTCTTAAAGGGAAGGAGAAAAAGGAAAAAGGAACCTGACGTTTTGCTCTAAATGTATTTTGAAGGAAAGAGGAGAGAGGAGAGCGGAAAGAGACGAAAGAATCGAAACGGTCCCCCGAGACAGCTTGCGGGTTGCGCTCGCTCCAAGCGCGAAACATCCGGGCCCCGTCGGCGTCCCGTCAAAGCAAGCACCGCATCACATGTCATTTTGCACTTTGTTTTTTGTTGGTTAAGGCATGTTGCACTGCTCCTATCTTGGACCCAAACCAGACCACCCAAAAGAACAAAGCAAGTCCGAAGCGGCCGCAGTTCTTTTAACCGGGATTGCTGAAAGTAGCACTGCTTCCAGGGCACGGATGCGCCTGGAGCAGGAGGTGCGTTGACCCCCCGTGAAACTTAAAGGCAAGACAGTGCGTGTCCTTGCAGGTGCGTGCAGTGCGCGCAAGGCGTGGCAGGCGTGCCCACGCCGGTCCGGAGACCTGGTGGTCCTGAGACCGTGGGCGGTCCGGAGACCTAGAGGTCCGGAGACCATGAATGGAAGCGCAGAGCTTCTGCAACTTCCCTTGCACAGGCTTGTAAAAAAGGCAATGCAGGGCGGGTGGGTGGGTTTCAAATGAAACAGATCAAGTTTGGGTCAAGGCTAGGAGCAAAACGGCCACCGCGGAAGTAGACTCACAACACGCAAGGGAAAAGAAAACCCTAAGCGTTAAGGCATGTTGCACTGCTCCTATCTTGGACCCAAACCAGACCACCCAAAAGAACAAAGCAAGTCCGAAGCGGCCGCAGTTCTTTTAACCGGGATTGCTGAAAGTAGCACTGCTTCCAGGGAGGTGCGTTGACCCCCCCTTCAGTGTTTCAGGCAACCCCGGTATAAGCGAGTCAGCTGGGCCGCCGGCCTCATCACCCCCCCTTCAGAGTGGGGTTGTACCTGGCAGGGCAATCGTCGTAAGACATTGCACTCTCATGCTTATGAGCATCTGCTGCTCAGGGACTGCTCATTTTTGTCAAAGCGGCTTGCTGTGAAGCTGCTGACAGGCGCAGCCAGATATTCTGGCTGCCATGGCTATGTCGGGTCGCAGTGCCTGTTGGGAGGCAGCAAGGCTGTCTACACGCTGCTGGCAGCAGCTGACAGGTGTTCCGGGCGCCAGGGCGCATCAATCGTGCGCGACTCTCTGGGCGATGGCTGAATCGGGCTGCTTAGGTCGTATCATTGTTCCTGCCTGGAACGTGTGTGGGCTGCAGCAACACGTTGCGCGCGTGCGCCCAGAAGGCTGTGAGCTGCACGAAGAGTTGCAGCGGCCAGGAGGTCGTGAACAACTTGTTAAGGCTTGCCTCCGTTGCCGAGTTATCAGTGCCTGAAGGCATGCTGAACGAGTAGTGCCCACCACCAATATGGCTCTGGGTGGCCTGCAGCAGTGCCAACTGCGCTAGCGTTTCGAAACATGCGATGTATCGCTGCCCAGGCTTGACAAGGCAATACTGCCCGTATGTCCTGCATAGTGACCAACAAACAATGTAACAAGAACAAGGAACAAACTAACAAGACACAAAACACACACAACACGGGCAACAAT